GGTGGGGATTGGTCAGTGAGGTGGGAGGAGCAGATCGGACAGGTTGTGTCAGGTCAAGGAGGCGGGGATCAAAGGGAGGGTTGGTCATGGGATGAGGTAAGGGTGGGGAAAGGGGAAATTCTGAAACTGGTAAAATCCACACGTAGGCCATTGGGCTGTAGGCTCCCGAGGTGCAAAATGAGGTGCTGCTCCTCCACTTTCTGGGTGGCGTCATTGTGACACTGGAGGCCCAGGATGGACATGTCAACCAGGGAATGGAGGGGGAGTTGAAATGGTTTGCGACAGGAAGGTGTTGTCGTTTGTCATTAACAGAGCGCAAGCGCTCTACAAAGCAGTCTCTGAGCCACCGCTTGGTGGTGAGCGGAAGGGGTAGTTGAAATGGTTCGCGACCTCTGTCTGATGTGGAAGGTTGGTGCCTTGAATGGAGGTGTAGGGGCAGGTGTAGCACTTCCTGCAGTTGCAGGGAAAGGTGCCGGTAGTGATGGGGTGACTGGAAGTGTGGAGCAGACGAGGGAGTCGCGGAGAGAGCGGACCCTATGAAAGGCAGATAGGGGTGGGGAGGGAAATATATCTTTAGTTGTGGTCAGCGGTTCATCTGCACATCCGTTAATGTGGTCTATTACATCTGCTGCTCCGGATGTGGCCTCCTGTACATCGGTGAGACCAAGCGGTGGCTCAGAGACCACTTTGTAGAGCACCTGTGCTCAGTCTGTTACAAACGACAACACCTTCCAGTCGCAAACCATTTCAACTGCCCCTCCACTCCCTGGTTGACATGTCCATCCTGGGCCTCCAGTGTCACAATGACGCCACCCGGAAACTGGAGGAGCAGCACCTCATTTTCCACCTCGGGAGCCTACAGCCCAATGGCCTACGTGTGGATTTTACCAGTTTCAGAATTTCCCCTGGCCTCATCCCATGACCAACCCTCCCTTTGATCCCCGCCTCCTTGACCTGACACAACCTGTCCGATCTGCTCCTCCCACCTCACTGACCAATCCCCACC